TGAGGTTGATTTCACCTAGAATTTGCAAATAAGGTCTGTCTGACCTCTGCTTGGGATTTACAAGGCAGGGCCGGACTTTGGATTTAGAATTTATAGAAAACCAACAGGAGGCATTTTCTGCATTGTGAGATATCAACATAGACATTTTGAATTCCTCTTTTGAGAGTGTGGCTTTTTGACCTTTTCACATCTTTTTCATTAACTTGCCATAGTTACGTGAGAGGCTCCAGGGGTAAAGAGAATCTGATGGCAGAATCTGTAAGTGTAAACAAGCATCTTAAGGCCACAAAGTATCCAGAGCCACGACCACAACTATACCTACCTGTAAAATGTGATACTGGAGTAAAGTATTCTTGTCCTTCTACTTACCCAACAGCTAGCAAATCAGGACAGCTAGCAAATCAGGATGGATGACCCAGGTTCTGGAGTTCAACCAAGGCAGTTCCATTTTTTATTTAGAATCATCCTGAGTCTTCTCTGCCTGGCTTATCAGTGGACCATCAGCCCCAGGTCACTGGGAACCCTCTCACAATCACCTGTGAATCTTTGAGACATTTGAGAATGTCCAGAACAGAATTGTGTCAGGCTGACAAGAGTGATTAATTCTGCTTCTGTCCCAGTATGAGAGAAATGAGTCATCCTGTGTTTGTTTTGCCCCTTACACAAGAAGTATCTTTGATTGGTACCCAGATGAGAGTTTTTCCAGTTCCCTGGTACTTGGGTAAAAAATCAGGAGGTCTGGAGGCTCAAACAGATAAACTAATTGCTTTCATTTCATATAGTCATTAAAAAAAATAGATGAAGCAGGCCAGGTGCAGTGGCTCATACCTGTAACCCCAGCACTTTGGGAAGCCAAGATGGGTGGATCATCTGAGATCAGGAGTTTGAGACCAGCCTGGCCAACATGGTGAAATCCTATCTCTACTAAAAATACCAAAAGTAGCTGGGTGTGGTGGCTCATGCCTGTAGGCTTGGCTACTTGCAAGGCTGAGGCAGGAGAATCTCTTGAACCTGGGAAGTGGAGGCTGCAGTAAGCCGAGATCCCATCTTTGCACTCCAGCCTGGGCAACAAAGTGAGACTTCATCTCAAAAAACAGAAAAAGAAAAGAAAAATAGATGAAGCAGTCATGGTTCCTACCATCCTGGCAGTTTTAGCCTAGACTAGCAACTGGAAATATGGTTGAAATATACATCAGATGGTGGGTACAGTAAATAGACGTGTGCAAAAAATTGGGGCTTTATTTGGGCCACTTTCTTTATACTGTGGCTTCTGATGTCTACACCTGAACTTAGAAGAGTCGTCATTATTATTTGTATTTATTTTAGCCTGCTAAGAATACTTTTCTTTTTTTTTATTTGAGACAGAGTCTCGCTCTGTCGCCCAGGCTGGAGTCCAGTGGCGCGATCTCGGCTCACGGCAAGCTCCTCCTCCCGGGTTCATGCTATTCTCCTGCCTCAGGTTTCTGAGTCGCCGGGACCACAGGCGCCTGCCACCACGCCCAGCTAATTTTTTTTTTTTTTTTTTTTTTTTGTATTTTTAGTAGAGACAGGTTTCACCATGTTAGTCAGGATGGTCTCGATTTCCTGACCTTGTGATCTACCCACCTCAGCCTCCCAAAGTGCTGGGATTCTAGGCGTGAGCCACCGCACCTGGCCAGAATACTTACTTTTCTTCTAAAAAAATTATTCTAGATAACCTTAAGGGATTTTTAAAAATTGCTTATTAGCATATAATATAAAATTTGCAGGGCAGTGGCAAAAAAGATTAAAATTATACAAACTCAGACTTAGGTTTACTTAAGTAAGCTTTAAAAAAATGAACTGACAATACCCCCCAGTGGCACAGAGAACTTAATTGTACATCGGCTGTACACTCTGCCCCAGCCCTGTTCATATTCACCCTTTTTAGAGTCCTTATTTATGTTTGGCTCTACCCTGGCATCTTGCCTCACAGAACTGATTAGAAGAGATCAGAGTTTTGGGTCATGAATCCTGTTGCCTTTTTAGAGCTGCTGCTCAACATTTTCTGCAACCCAACAGATAAATGGGAAATATAAAGTATGTATTATAGGATCTTACTTTTCAAATTTTTTATTAAACCCAGTGCTTGCAGAAACATTATTTAGCAACTTGTTTTCTGTTCCTGCAGATCTAGTAGTTGATTCACAAGTCCCAAGAAAGTAAGTATAAACACAATAAAAATTTATCTAAATTGCATTAAACTCTTTCCATCTGTATCTCTTTCATCTGTCTATATTTACCTTTTATTTGCATTTTTTGAAAAAATCAATGACAGATCAACAGAAATAGAAATAAAAATGCTGGGTCCTTTAAAGCCTTGGAATTATTGAACACGTAGTATCGACTCACAGGGTGTTATTAGGATTAAACCACATAATGTGCTATCACAGTGCTCTGTAACATCCTATTGAGCACATAGTACCTGCTTAATAAACATTGCATTAGTACATGTGCACATGTTGTTTTCCAAATGCAGACTTACTCAGAAATTGCTACCTTCTGTTTTCTCTGTAAACTTTAGAGTCAGCAAAGAGTATAATACTTTAGAATGAAGAATGATTGTCTTCATTTGTACCAGAAATATTTGTGTTGTGACAAGGGTGCTGGGTTATCAGCCCAGGCTTCTAATGAGTGTCACCTGGCCATTTTGCAGAACTCCCTTTACTTGTGCCCTGTCCGTGGATTCTGTTTATTGTTCTGGTGGAAGCCACCATGTTATTTTAATTAAGTGGTTCATGTGACTCTAAGGTGAGGTCAGAATCAAGTATGAGGAATTCAAAATACATTCATGAGAGTTAAGTTCCATCTTTGCATTAAAGAGTGGTTCAAGAACCCGTTCTGTTTGGATTTGGTAGGGACAGGACAGCGTGGCCCATATTTCCAGTACTGTAGTGGAAATTGCTGGTGCCTGTGTCAGGGGATGGCTCCTGAGGACAAAATAAAAGTGTATTTTTATCTCTGTGGAGCTACTCATTGTTTCTCAATCTCTTCTCCTATAAAGGACAGAAATGGGTGGAGTTTCTCTGTCTTGGTTCTTCTGCCTGTGGATGTGGTGACAGCAGGTAGACCTGTGGTGCTGACACTTTTAAAGGCATGTTCTCAAGATGCAGGTATAATTTGCCCAGAGAATTTTATCTGAGAAATAATCCTAGAGAAGGAGGAGAAAGGGGAAAAAATGGCCTTTTTTTTTTTTTTTCAGCTAAATATGTCTCAGATCAAGATCTGTGTCCACTCTGCTTCCTCCAGGAAACAAGTTTGGTACTTGCAAACCTGTACTTCTCTACTTGTGTTTTTCCTCCCTAATGAGTTTGTCTTTACTTTAAAAAATTCTTACAATAATCAAAGTCTCTGAAAAATATATTTTTCTATATACCAGAGCCTTCTCTACATTATGGCTTCTTATATGCCATGCAGAAATCTCACTATGAATTTATAATCTGCAATATTAAAAATGTCCCTTTGTGGCTGTTGAACATGGGAAGGTGTAGATACTCCAAATTCCTGTTGGGGAAAACCTGGGGTTTTTAGTGAAGACAGAGAACATGTAATGTTGAGGTTTCATCTGTGTTCTTTATTATGTCTATGCAGTATAGGATTAAGAAAATACCCATTGAAGCAGTATGGTATTTATTACCCAGAAAATTATAAAAAATTTGATAGGCGATAACTGCTCTTTACAGTGCTAAAGAAAGACTATTTAAAATCACTATTAAAAATTACAGAACATGGGAGATACCTGTATCTTGAACTTTCCATAAAACTAATGTTTCCTTATGGTTAAATTCAGACTATAATTTACCTTTCAGGGGGCAGTATCTCAGCAGTAATGCTGTGTCCTTCTGGGTGCATCAGGACATTATAAAAGTTTGTTCTAATGTAGTTGATGTTAATAAATCACTTAGTTGATAAGCTCTCTGATACATGTTTTACTATAGAATTAATTATTTTTCTCTTCATTGTTAAGTATCTTTACGCAGCTGATGTGAACAAACCACCACATTTAATCTGGCAGCTGCCCTTCTTTCTTAGGTTTCCTTTGCATTTGTCTGTTTTTTGAAAATGAAGGCTCTCATCTTTATTTACAAACCAGAAAAACACAGGGTCATTCAATTACTGGATATTTGACGAAATAGTCTTTTTGGGCCAAAAACATTGGCATACTGATGAGCTTGTTAAAAATTCAGCAACTCAGACTTTATCCCTGATCTTCTGAAAAAAAAAAAAAAACTGCATTAACAGGATTTCCAGCTTATTGTACACATAAAAATTTGAGTGATAGCTTCTAACTCAACATGTCTATTCCATCTGAATAATATACAAAAGTATGTCCATCTGAAAAATACACACAATTAATTCTTTTTTTTTTTTTTTTTTTTTTTTGAGATAGAGTTTCACTCTTGTTGTCCAGGCTGGAGGGCAATGGTGCGATCTCAGCTCACCGCAACCTCCGCCTCCTGGATTCAAACGATTTTCCTGCCTCAGCCTCCCAAGTAGCTAGAATTACAAGCACAAAGCACCATGCCCAGCTAATTTTGTGTTTTTAGTAGGGACGGGGTTTCTCCATGTTGGTCAGACTGGTCTCAAACTCCCGACCTCAGGTGATCTGCCCGCCTCTGCCTCCCAAAGTGCTGGGATTACAGGCATGAGCTACCATGCCCGGCACACGATTAATTCTGTATGATGTAAATGTAGCACTCAAAATTGTACATGTTAGTGTTTATGCCCTCAATTTTATACTTTATTGTCCAGAAAAATACACTATATACACTGGTGTTATGGATCTTATAACACTTTGTTTTCTCAGAGTTAGAGAATACATTAGAGAATATTTCTAGTTGAAAACTATTTTATTGAATTATTTCAGTCACTCTTAGAAGTCAGAACCAGCTCTGTTTACTCTCTCCATTTTACGTTGAGTCAAATTAAAAATTATGCCCATGACCACTTGGTAAATAAGTGTGTTTGTGTGTGTTTTCCAGGGATCATTGAGATTTCGGGATGTGGCCATAGAATTCTCTGTGGAGGAGTGGCAATGCCTGGACACTGCACAGCGGAATTTATATAGGAATGTGATGTTAGAGAACTACAGAAACCTGGTCTTCCTGGGTGAGAATAACTTTAATATGCAATTCCTAGTGTACGCGATAGGTTTCATTTTGCTGCGGACTTTATTGGCCTGAACAAAGGAGGTTGAATGCAGGAATAAAGACAAAGACGGCACCAGGGGACTCCTTGCTTCTAGTGAACAAGGGCCATGAACTTCTATAGCTCTTCATATTTATTGAGTAAAGGAGATAGGGAGAAGGGGGAGGTTGTGGTCAGCTGCTTGACTTAGTGACTGTATTCTTTGAACAGTACTCTCCAGATGTTCCAGTAGTTAACCTCAAGGAGGTAGTTAACCCAGTAGTTAACCCAGGGAGTGACTGTCCTCAGTGTACCTTCTGGCGGCATGAGCAGAAGCAAGTTTGCCCACATTCTGCATTCATGATAAACAATTTGCCGTTTGATTCATTCAAGTCCAGTGGAATGCTGAGTTGGTCACAGCCCTCAGGCTTTCGGCTCCCAACAGCATTGCTCTTTTTTTTTTTTTTTTTTTTTTTTGAGACGGAGTCTGACTCTGTCGCCCAGCCTGGAGTGCAGTGGACGGATCTCAGCTCACTGCAAGCTCCGCCTCCCGGGTTCACGCCATTCTCCTGCCTCAGCCTCCCGAGTAGCTGGGACTACAGGCGCCGCCACCTCGCCCGGCTAATTTTTTGTATTTTTTTAGTAGAGACGGGGTTTCACCGGGTTAGCCAGGATGGTCTCGATCTCCTGACCTCGTGATCCGCCCGTCTCGACCTCCCAAAGTGCTGAGATTACAGGCTTGAGCCACCGCGCCCGTCCAGCATTGCTCTTTTGTATAATTTCTTTTTGGTAATTTATGCTTCAGATTTCTGTTTTCAAGAAAATCACAGGGAGTTTTCCATAGAGAAAAAAATTTCAAGATGTTTCATCTTGACCTGAACTTACCACATTCTTGAGCTCCTCTCTGTCCTTCACTTTAGATTAATGGTAATTTCAAAATTTTACTGGCATAAAATATTATTGCTCACACTTTAAAATCTAATTACCACCACCAATTTTTAATTCAGTAGTACCAGGTGATAAAAGTAAGAACCCACAAAATTAGAGTATTTTCTAAATATTTAGAAATTTCTGTTGTAATTTAGTATTTTGGGATAAATGTATTAGAACATTGTGTTAAATCCTCTTTACTGAGCACATTATTAAGTTGTTAATTGGAGAATATGAGCAAGAGGCATGTTACTTATTTTTAATAAAACAGGTATTGCTGTCCCTAAGCCAGACCTGATCATTTTTCTGGAGCAAGGAAAAGAGCCCTGGAATATGAAGAGACATGAGATGGCGGAAGAAACCCCAGGTAGGTGAGAGTGAATACAACAGACAACGTGGATGACAGGTCCAAAGTCAAGAAGAAAGCAAGTCCCTAAAGTGATATGGGAAGCAGTGTTCCAAAAGAAATAGTTTCTGGAAAGCCTAATTTTTATTTTTATTTTTAAATTTTCTCTCACACAGGGGCATCTTCTCTCTTTTGCTTTTAAAATATCTAAGAATTCTTCTTTCCCTTCAGTAATCTTCCTTCAAGTTTACAGTGACAGCCAAAGTACTGTTCATGGCATACAAGAGAGTGTGCAATCTGAGTTTTTTCATTTTTGTTTTTGTGGACACACAGATGTTTGCATAATTTCAAGACACTCCACGTTAGACTATCTTTTAAGTTCTCTTTTTCCATCATCTCTGAAATGTGTGAGAGTAGTGATTTCTGTATTATTGGGTGTTTTTTGTTCATTTTTCTGCACATTTCATCCTGTTTTTATTATACTCTTGAAATATAGTTTGAAATTATAAAGTATGATGTCCTTCTGCTTTTTTCTTTTTCTTCAAGATTGCTTTGGCTATTCACAGTTTTTTGTAGTTTCATGTAAATTTTATGATTGTATTTTTCATTACTGTGAAAAAAAAACCACTGGAATATTGATAGAAAGTTTATTGAATCTAGAGATCACTTTGGATAATATGGTGTTTTAGCGTTTATTCTTTGAATCGATAGAGAAAATGTATTTAAATTTATTTGTGTTTTCTTATTTTTTCATTGATAAATCTTTCACTTGAAAAGTTTTTCAGTTCCTCGGTTAAATTTGTCCTCAGATATTTATTATTTTAGTGCTATTTTAAATAAGATTGTTTTCTTCCTCTATTTTATCAGATAGTTTAAGTGTATGGAATCATAACTTGTGTGTTAATTTTATATTTTGCTAATTTGCTGAGTGTATTTATTTGTTTTAAAAGGTTTTAATGTACTGTTTATGGTTTTTTTTTATAGAGAACATTGCATGATCTACAAGCAGCAATGTTTTACTTGTCTTCAATTTCAATGACTTTAAAAATTTTTTGACTAATTTTTCTTCCACATACATCCAGTGCTGTGTTAAAATAGAAGCTTTGACGATGGGCACAATATACTTTTGCGTTGGTGTCTCAATTTGAAGGAGCAAACACCTCAAAGTTTTGATAAACTGGTTTCAGAGGGTAAAAATCTTCCTTTCTTGGGCCCCCAGGGTGATAGAATGCCCTCTGGGTTTGTAGTAGAGCGGGGTTGTAGCTTGGTCACAAGGCTGCTGGCTCTGCACTAGGGTCAGATTATCATAAAGGACTTGGGTAGTTGTAATTCGCATTTTACTTTTGGACACAGTAAATATCCTTCAGGACTTTGCTCAGTAGGATAGATGCTAGGGCAGGTTCCTGCAGTCAGGTCTGCGTATGGTGGGCTTTATATTAGGATGTGGATTAGTATGGCTTGTACTGAGTACCAGAGAGGATTTCTGAGGTCACTGTGGGTTTCTACATAGGTAGAACTGGCGATGAACTGTGGCTTAGGAAGCTGGAACTGAGTCATGGAACTGTTATTGGGACCAAGGTCTGCAGGCCTGCCAGCTTGGCTCTAAATGGGTATCTCTCCAGGCTTCTGGAAGACCAAGACCTCTCACAGACTGTGGCTGGGAGAAGTTTGGGATGCTTACAGAGTAAGTTCAAAATTCTCAGTGGGATGGAGTTGGGTGGGACATTTTCTGGTCTGTAGTCAAGAGCAGGGGTCCTGTAGTTTGCCACCTAAATGAAAGCTTGCCTTCTGAAAAGGGTGCTCCTCAATCTTGGGCTCAGCAAAGTTTCACAATTCCCTCCCTGGATCTCAAAGCTCTCTTAAAGGCACTTATTTCCGAGATGGGGTCTCACTGCATAACCCAGGTTGGTCGTAATATTTTGGCCTGAAGCAATTCTCCAACCTTACTGTACCATGTAGCTGTCATTACAGATACTAACCATGATGCCTGGTTCTCTCATTAAGACATTTTTGTCATGGATGACTGACAAACTTTCTTGCTGTTGGGGGTTAAGCAAATAGGGCACCTTTTTCTTTTTATCTGCTTCTAAGAGTGTAAATGCTTTCTATCTATCTATCTCTTACAATCTTTGTCTTTTTGTGGCTGACATTTCATTTTGCATAACGTTATCAAGATTTATCTTTATAATTGGTAGACTGTTTTCTGCTTTTTGAAAACTGAGTGATATTCCAGTATTTTTATATTTCAAATTGTATTTACTGAATGATTTGGTGACAGAAATTTGCATTGCCTTTACCTGTTAGCTTACAGTAATAATTATTGCTATGTAAATGACTCCTCATATGACCATACATGTTAAAGTATATATATATGGGTTGCATTCTATTTCATTAGTTTAATTTTCATCCTTATACCAGATTGTTTTAATTCTGTAGCTTTGTAATGTCTTTTGAAATCAGGAACTTTAATGCCTGCAGCATTCCTTTATTATTATTATTATTATTATTATTATTTTTATTTTTATTTTATTTTTTTTTTTGAGACAGAGTCTCGCTCTGTCGCCCAGGCTGGAGTGCTGTAGCCGGATCTCAGCTCACTGCAAGCTCCGCCTCCCGGGTTCCCGCCATTCTCCTGCCTCAGCCTCCTGAGTAGCTGGGACTACAGGCGCCCGCCACCTCGCCCGGCTAGTTTTTTGTATTTTTTTTTTTTAGTAGAGACGGGGTTTCACCGTGTTAGCCAGGATGGTCTCGATCTCCTGACCTCCTGATCCGCCCGTCTCGGCCTCCCAAAGTGCTGGGATTACAGGCTTGAGCCACCGCGCCCGGCCTATTATTATTATTATTTTAAGATTGATGGGAACTTTATTGCCTTTGGGGTTCGATATACTTTTGGGGTTGCTGTTTCTGTTTCTTCAAAAATACAGTGAGAAATTTGAAAAACATTTCATTAAATTTGTAGATTACATTGACCAGGATTGACCAGGATGAACATCTTTACAATATTAACTATTACAACCTTTACATAAGAGCGTGCTCGAGTGTTTTGTTAAATTCCTATGTGTGTGTATATATATATATATGGTTTTTTTTTTTTTTTTAAGACGGAGTCTTGCTCTATCTCCAGGCTGGAGTGCAGTGGCACGATCTCGGCTCACTGCAACCTCTGCCTCCTGGGTTCAAGCGATTCCTTTGCCTCAGCCTCCTGAGTAGCTGGGACTACAGATGTGTGCCACCAAGCCTGGCTAGTTTTTCACATTTTAGTAGAGACAGGGTTTCACTATGTTAGTCAGAATGGTCTTGATCTCCTGACCTCGTGATCCACCTGCCTTGGCCTCCCAAAGTGCTGGGATAACAGACGTGAGCCACCATGCCTCACATTTTTTTTTTTTCCAGTTTCTGTCTATTATTGTTGTATACTTGCATTTGAGTTTAGTCATAGAAAATAATTCATAAAATTTCAGTTTTAAAAAATTTGGTAAGACTTCTTTTTTGGCCTAAGAGGTGGTCTATCAAGAAATATGTTGTATGAGCTATTGAGAAGGGTGTGTATCCTGATGTTGAGGAGTGCTCTCTATACCTCTGTCAGAAATATTTGTTTTATACCACCTTTAAGTAGTCTGTTTCCTTATTAATATTCTGTTTTGATTTTTTTTTTAATTATACTTTAAATTCTGGGGTACATGTGCAGAGCGTACAGGTTTGTTACATAGGTATGCATGTGCTCTGGTGGTTTGCTGTACCTATCAACCTGTTATCTACATTAGGTATTTTTCCTAATGTTATTCATCCACTAGCCTCCCACCCCACCACAGGCCCCGGTGTGTGATGTTCCCCTTCCTGTGTCCCTGTGTTGTCGTTGTTCAACTCCCACTTATGAGTGAGACCATGCTGTGTTTGGTTTTCTGTTCTTGTGTTAGTTTGCTGAGAATGATGGTTTCCAGCTTTATCCATGTCTCTGCAAAGGACATGAACTCATCCTTTTTTATGGCTGCATACTGTTACGTGGTGTGTATGTGCCACATTTTCTTTATCCAGTCTATTACTAATGGGCATTTGGGTGGGTTCCAAATCTTTGCTATTGTGAATAGTGCTGCAATAAACGTATGTGTGCATGTGTCTTTATAGTAGAATGATTTATAATTTTTTGGGTACCCAGTAATAGAATTGCTGAGTCAAATGGTATTTCTAGTTCTGGATCCTTGGGGAATTGCCACATTGTCTTCCACAATCGCTGAACTAATTTACACTCCAACCAACAGTGTAAAAGCATTCGTACTTCTCCACATCTTCTCGAGCATCTGTTATTTCCTGACTTTTTAATGATCACCATTCTAACGGATGAAATGGTATCTCATTGTGGTTTTCATTTGCATTTCTCTAATGACCCGTGATGATGAGCTTTTTTTCATATGTTTGTTGGCCACATAAATATCTTTTTTTGAGAAGTATCTGTTCATATCCTTTGCCCACTTTTTGATGTTTTTTTTTTCTTGTAAATTTGTTTAAGTTCTTTATAGATCCTGGATATTAGCCCTTTGTCAGATGGATATATTGGAAAATTTTTCTCCCATTCTGTAGGTTGCCTGTTCACTCTGATAGTTTCTTTTGCTGTGCAGAAGCTCTTTAGTTTAATTAGGTCCCATTTGTCAATTTGGCTTTTGTTGCCATTGCTTTTGGTGTTTTAGTTATGAAGTATTTGCCCATGCCTGTGTCCTGAATGGCGTTGTCTAGGTTTTCTTTTAGGGTTTTTATGGTTTGAGGTGTTACATTTAAGTCTGTAATCCATCTTGAGTTAATTTTTCTATAAGGTATAAGGAAGGGGTCCAGTTTCAGGTTTCTGAATATGGCTAGCCAGTTTTTTCAACACGATTTATTAAATAGGGAATTCTTTCCCCATTGCTTGTTTTTTTCAGGTTTGTCAAAGATCAGATGGTTGTAGATGTGTGATGTTATTTCTGAGGCCTCTGTTCTGTTCCATTGATCTGTATATCTGTTTTGATACCAGTACCATACTGTTTTGGTTACTGTAGCCTTGTAATATAGTTTGAAGTCAGGTAGCATGATGCCTCCAGCTTTGTTGTTTTTGCTTAGGATTGTCTTGGCTATATGAGCTTTTTTTCTGGTTCCATATTAAATTCAGTTTTTTCAAAATCTGTGAAGAAAGTTAGTGGTAGCTTGATGGGGATAGCATTGAATCTATAAATCACTTTGGGCAGTATGGCCATTTTCACGATATCAGTTCTTCCTATCCATGAGCATGGAATGGTCTTCCATTTGTTTGTGTCCTCCCTTACTTTCTTGAGCAGTGGTTTGTAGTTGTCCCTGAAGAGGTCCTTCACATCCCTTGGTGGTTGTATTTCTAGGTATTGTATTCTCTTTGTAGCAATTGTGAATGGGAGCTCAGTCATGATTTGACTCTCTATTTGACTCAGGCTCTCTCTCTATTATTGGTGTATAGGAATGCTTGTGATTTTTGCACATTGATTTTATATCCTGAGAGTTTGCTGAAGTTGCTTATCAGCTTAAAGAGATTTTGGGCTGAGACAATGGGGTTTTCTAAATATACAATCATGTCATTTGCAAACAGAGAGAATTTGGCTTCCTCTTTTCCTATTTGAATACCCATTATTTCTTTTTCTTGCCTGATTGCCCTCATGAGAACTTCTAATACTATGCTGAATGGGAGTGGTGAGATTTAATTTAACATCCAAGTTAAATTAATCCTCCTCACCACGGATACCCCCCTCACGTAGGTGTCCCTTGTTCACCATCCTCCATGAAATCAGTATCCCGCACAAGAGTGCTACTCTCCTCGCTCCGGGCCCATAAATCGTGGGGGTAGCTATAATGAACTGTATCCGGCATCTGGTTGTTTACCTCAGGGCCATATAACTAAGATCGCCCACACGTTCCCCTTAAATAAGACATCTCGATGGATCACGGGTCTATCACCCTATTAACCAGTCTCGGGAGCTCTCCATGCATTTGGTATCTTTTATCTCTGGTCTGCACGCGACCCCATTGCAGAAAGCTGGTCCCACCACAACACGTCCCGCAGAACCTGTCTTTGATTCCTAGTCCATGCCATTATTAATCGCACCTACGTTCAATATCCTAGCCCCACATAAGTTTTACAAGGTGTTATTTAATTCATGCTTGTAGGACATACCAATAATTACCATGTAATCCATTTTCAATCACACTGCAAATAACGCAGGAAACTATCAACAAACCCCCCCACCCCCATCTCTGACTTCTTCTCCAAAAATTTACTCTTGCCAAACCCCAAAAACAAAAGCTTTCACACACCTAGCCAGAGATCGCGTTTTCATCCTTTAGGTGTGCACAACTTCAACTGCCATTTCCTGAACTAACACAAAATTACTTCACTTTACCCCTCTTAACTTCATCCCACTCCTTCTCTTTCCTACTTCCTTGCTCTCATGCACTTGTTCACTACTAAATATGGGCCCTCATTGTCACAACCCGAAAGACAGCACCTCACAACTATACTTCTCTCCGTGCTTATGTAGCTTAATTCACCTAAAGCAAGACACTGAAAATGTCTAGACGGACTTGCACACCCCATGAGCAAATAGGTTTGGTCCTGGCCTTTCTATTAGCTCTTAGCAAGATTACACATGCAAGCATCCCTGCCCCAGTGAAGACACCCAATAAATCACT